CTTTTCTTAGCTCCAAACATATTTCTGTCTTGGAGGTGACAGTATCGCGCTTCATCCTGCTGGCTAATATTTCCAAATCGTAGCCAAATTGATGAATTTGACATTGAGGTTAGCTCATTTCTGTGCATCTTGTATAGCTTTGCATGCCGAATTTTCTATTTCGCTATACAGTAGTGCTTTCTTAGCTGCTGGTACGTTTTCGATGGTTGGATTTTCTACGAGCTTGTATTTAGTCCGAAGATAAAGCGCAATAACTGCCAAGTACGTGTTGTGAGTCTTTTCCTGCTTCAAAATTGCCGCCCCCCTGGTAGATATAGGCTACTTTCTAGTACGTTATGAACAAGCATTTCGAAGAATTGAGACTTACAGGCAACATCATTAAACTCACTGCTGTGTGAAGGAATAAAATTAGAAGTTTGGTTGTGGAAGCAGTTCGGGATTCGTTTAGAAAAATTGTTTTCACTGCATTTTGATTATAACTCGCATTTGGCTGGATCACTGCGGTCCTTTGCTGTGTTCCAATTACTACAGTTGCCATTTGGAAAAAAAAGATGGTGACAAATCTCAGGATTCTAAACGCAAGGAATGACTTGTTATAAATGTAGAAATATCAACTTTGAATGAGCTCTAGCGGTGCAAACTTATCCTCCAAAATAATTTGATTTAAGATATCACAGACAAGGAAAAATCATTCTAATCGACATTTTGTATTCCACAACTAAATGAAACGAAGATTCATTGCTTACTGAGAAGACCTTTTTTAGCATTACTTATGAATCAGAAGATAAATCATTCCTGCTGCACAGTGTTTACAGCATTTAAATAAGTACAGAAAATATGATGAAGAGCACAGTAATTAGGTTAACTTGATAGTTTAGATTTGAGGTGATTCAACTAATCGTGTAAATCTTGTGAAAACTATGACTGGAATTGTAACATCAATTCTTTGGTCAACGGATTAGTTCAGGATTAGGATTATTAATTAACTAAATAGAGTGGTGCTTAACAAATTTGCAGTTGGTCCACATCTCGTAAGCACAAAATCTTGCCAATTTTTACATGAAACTGCTAGACTTCCAATATTTAGTTAGGACAGGGCCAATTAAGACTCTTTAAATTTTCCATAAAATAAGTAGATAACATTCACTCTTCCATGTTAACACCAGCAGTAGCGTGTTACTTATAGATTTATGGAAATATCTCGATGAACTACTTACTATTTCAGTTATAGCACTACAATCCTATAGCAAACATAAAATCTACAAAGCACACTTGTGACGGTTATATGCTTACTCTCGGGGGTTTGAAAACATCAAGTTATTTCTTGTCACAATCGTAATTTTAGATTGTTGTTTCCAGAAATCAAAGAAAATAAGAAACAAATCTGAGAAGACAAACTATAATTTTAGTTTTTCCACTTATTCAAATGTGTCATTGACAGTTAAAATGATAAAATAATAATGGAAAGGAACTGGGAAATAATATCGGCTAAAAGCAGTTAAAATAATGAGCTCCTATCAATTTTACTTGAAAAAACTGTCATAAACATCTTTTACATACGACAAGAAACTCAAAATTAGACACATTTTGTTTAGGTAAAATAAACAGAACTAAGGATTAATTTTAAAGATTTTCCAAATTTCTTGTTTCAAATGTTCTCATAATTTTATGAGAAATGTAAAATTTTACCTGAAAGAATTTTTTAGTAATCCATGATATGCTTTTAATACAAGTTTTTAAAACAGCTTTTCTATCATGTAAATAATCACGGTATTACTTGACATTTGCTATCAAAAGAAAATGCCGAGAGGAGGATGGCTCTTGTATTTTCCTCCAATTAGGTGTCAAGTTTCTTGAACTTTTTTAAGAACCAGTCTGCAAACATAGATGACTTTTAATATTAGTTATTACAGAGAATTCATTTGCTTCTTCAGTTCTTGAAGTCTGATTGCACACACGAACTGCTCGCTACATTAATCTAAGGTTTATCTAGATGTGGAGCAGAAGTACCTTATACTAATGCAAATGGATAGACCAGAAAAAGTAGACGCAGAAATAATCTCGGAGTATATTTACCCGCTTATACTTGAAGCGGCGAACCAAGCCGCGGGTGAATATGTCACACAGAATCCCCCTTATTCAATGACTGATTTTGCAAGACAGCTTCTTGCACAACAATGCTATGAAGATATGACAAGGCGAGAGAAGAAGATATCGAAGTAAAAGGCAAGCATAAAAAAGAAGTTAACTTTGAATATCTTCCACAAAACCCTCATTGAGCGGTATTTGGCCGATAAAACGCGTGAAGGTAAAAAAGGCCAAAAAGTGTATGAAGGGCATGAATCTCATACTTGCTGTCAAGCGTGACTGTCATGAAATCCAATCGTTGCAAACGTACAGCAGCCCAGAAAGCGCTCTTGTATATTGAAGTAGAAGGAAAATCCATCATGCAAAGCTTACGTAATGAATTACTCTCAATGTCCGATTCATTAATGTAGTTACGAAAACATCACCGCATAAGGTGGAATGCGATACTGTCCCCTCCATGACAGAAATATGTTTGGAGCTGAGAAAGGTATGTGCTAACATTATGGGGAAGGTGTGAAGACGGTGGACCATTTAGCAACGCAGTGCGACAAAATGTTACGTACGACTATATAGAAAACACAATGAGGTCCTGCGATGTATCCATTTAGGACTTTGCAAAAAGTATGGTCTAAAAGCATTCCCATGCATGCGGAGGTATTCTGTTCAGGAAATCATCACTAATAAGAACGTAGAAATCAGAGTCGTTAG